GGCAGTGAGAGAGACTTTGCAGAAACAGCCCTTTGGATTTTATCAGTCAGTAGTCAAGTCACTTGACTTCAGGGGAATGGCTCACCCTAGTGCAGTCTTGCTTGTCAAGGCAGGCGGCCTTGTGCGGCCGAGGCAGTGAGGCAATCCAATTGTAAGCTGAAAGTTGCTCAGAATATTTTGATATTACGGTTATACAAAAAAGGGAGGTCACAGCATAAGTTAGCGTGGAAAGTCTGATTTTTCAGAGCATTTCCCCTCCATCCGGACCGTGTCTGATGACAGAGGTTGCGTAGCTCGTGTCCCCCCCTTCCTCCGGCAACCCGAGTCGTCTCCGCTCCCACTGAGTGGAAGCGGGTTCCTGCTGCGCCTCGCCCGTGACCTGGCCTCCCCCGGCACGCCTGCTGGGCCGCGAGGCGTCCGCCTGCCCTCCGCTGTCTGCCTCGCTCCGGTGCGCGGTCGTGGTCGTCTCCACAGCCAGTGCTGCCGTGGCGGGAGGGGCCGCGCCTTTTGCCCCAGAGTCCGGGCAGCCCCGGGCAGGCGAGTCGCGGACGCCTGGGCTGGACAGGGGCCGTGACCAGGGAGCCGTGCCCTGCCTAGCCGCCCGGCTGGCCCTGGGGCCCCGCCCCAAGGGCTCGAGGCCCCTACACGGGACAGCTGGCATGGCCTCCTCGTGGGTGTTGAGGTGACCGCGGCCGGGCTGCGTCCTGGGCGTCGGGGCCGGGGCAGGGGCGTCCGTCCTGTCCTTCAGCCACAGCTCCCTGCGGCTCTCAGCCCGGCTGTCCCGGCCAGAGGCTCCTGGGGCTCCCCGGACACCCCGTCCTTGCATGTGCTGAGAGGCCTGGCCCCGCGTGGCCAGGGCGCCGTGTGGCTCCAGGCGTGGGACTGGCCCCTGGGTGCCCGGCTTTCGTCTCAGGGTGTGATCAGATGGGTCAGGGCTGCCTGACGCGGGGAGGTCTGCCTCCAGGCCGCTCCGGTCCACCCTCCGGGTCACGCAGGCGCCCTGGATGAGGTGCTGATGACGCAGAAACCGCGTTGGGGCTCAGCGGTCCCAGGACACGAGGCTGCAGACACGGTGTCTGAGGGGCCTCTCCTGGCTCACATGCGGTGGGGCCCCCCCTGGCCGGAGCGGCGTGGGGCCTTTGGGGGCTCTCATCCGGCTCCGCCCTGGTGAGCTGAGCCTGGCAGAGATCTCCTGAGACACCCCCTTAGGGACGGGCGTACCCAGCACGCAGAGCCGGGGTCGCCTGCCAGCCCGCGTCAGCGCCCCTGTGCGGTGCAAGGCAGGGGGGGGAGGGGGGCTGGCCCCCCTCACCCGATATCAGCCCGGAGCCGGCTGAGCCAGGGCTCCCCGCGGCGCGCAGCAGAGGCTCAGAGGTGCCGGCCAGGCAGCTGACTTGGGTGGCCTGGCCTCCCCGGCCCCGGCGGAGCTGGGCTAGGACCCAGCTGTGGGCGCTAGAACCGCAGAAGGCCCCAGGGCCTACCTGCTCCCCATGCACCTGCGGGGTCTGACCTCGGGCGGAGCACACGCCTGGCGGGATTGACTGGGGTGGGGGTGGGGGGCGCAGTGACTCAGCCAAGGTCACGCCCGGTCAGAGCCTGGAAGACCAGCTGGCCCTGTGTGCTCAGGGCGCACTGTGGGTGGGGCCCACTGCGGCCCCAGGGAGGGGTCCGCTTCAGCCCCCCGTTTGCAGAGGAAGAAGTGCAGGCCCCAAGAGTTGCTGAGGTGCCCACGCCTGAGAGGGAAGGAAGAGGGTGGCGTGCAGTGGAGCCCAGATGGCTCTCTCAGGGCCCTCGCGCTCACCCCTGCACTGCCGTCACCCCAGTTTCACCAACGAGAGAGTGCGCTTGCCCCAGGCCACAGGCCGAGCGGGCCTCGCCCCAGGAGGTGGGCATCTGCCCGGGGCGGGACCCAGTGGGGCAAGGGCCGCTCCCCACTCTGCAGCCTCCCCGAGCCGAGGGCCCGCGCTGAGTCCGTCCTGCGGGCCGGGCCCGTGGCTGTGGGCGGGGTGGGGAGAGGGGTGGAGGCAGCGCGTTTTGGGGGTGCTCTGTCCTCAGCGAGACTGTGCCTGCTGTGTCCTGGCTGAGCCCCACTCGACTACACAACGTGGTGGTGGGCAGGAGCAGAAGCGGGCCCCCAGGGTCCCCCCACACCGCTCTGGGCGGCTGACTCCAGCCACGGCGCGTGGACGCGTCCAGTCTAAAGCTGAGCTTCCCCCCCGTGAAGGAGCTTCCTTCCGGGTTTGTTCCCCATCGCAGACGCCAGCCAGCGGCTACCGTTACGCGACGCTGTGCCAGCGGGTCTGGGTGCCAAGCGCTATTTAGAAACAAGTGACGGCAAGTCTTACTCAGCGTCTGAGAACTAGAAAACCTCGGCGTGGCCTGGGACTGGGCGGGGTCCGCGGACCCTCCCCAGGCCACGCCCGGCCTGCTGTCCGGCTGGGGCAGCTTGCGTGGCGCCCCGGGCCCGAGACCTGTCCTGCTGCCCGGTGACTCCTCGATGCCGGTGGGTGGGTGTCGGCCCCCCGGCTCTCACCCTGCACCCCCAGCACGCACGCTGCCGGGCCCGGGCAGACTCTCAGCAGCCGCGTGCCGGGTGGACACGAGGCACCTGGGGACGGAATGTAGCCGTTAGAAGGCCTGAGACGCGGTGGTGGGGAAACTGTCCAGCAGACTGTGGCTGTGGCCGTGCACTTATGGCGGCTGGCGAGACGGGCGCCTGCAGGTGTCGGGCAGCACCCGCCCGCCGGCAGGGGCACAGCCCCCCGCGTAGCCCGGCCCCGCTGGCCACTGTGCTCAGGCCCCCTGACCCTGCCGACCCCACCACGGGGCTTGATCCGGGACGCGCCCAAAAACACATGCTAAGCGCAGTGTTTAGCGGCACAGATGCTCCCCTCCTGGGAGCCCTGCCAGCTCGTGCCCGGGGTCACGCCGCGCCCGAGGGCTGCGCCCTGAGAATCACCCCAAGTCCGCTGGACTACGTCGCGATGCAGTGTCAGCTGCGGGAGGCAGAGGCGGGCAGGCCGGGGCGTTCCCTGCCCGGGGCTGTCCCTTCCCGGACGCAGGTCGAGGGTGCCGGGCGGCTCGAGGTCTGGGCTCCCCTCGCCAGCTCTGCCTGGGGGTCTTTGCCTGCCTTCTGGCCAGACCCCAGGCTTGGGGGCTCCTGTGCTTATGGGACTTGCCCGAGCCATGCACGTCTGGTGCCCCCTGCCCCAGGCCCGGGCCCAGACTCCCCACGCTCCCCGTCTCAGGGCCAGAGAAGAAGAGAAGCTTCTCAGCGCTGCGCTTTACCTGCCGCGCCACCAGGGAGGGCTCTGAGCATTTCCTCTTCTGTTTTTTTTTTTTTTTTTTTTTTAAAGATTTATCCATTTGTGCATACAGAACTGGGGTACAGGACAGAGGTGCATGGGCGGTGAGACAGAGACAGAGTGGGGTACAGAACAGGCCGACGGATGATGTGCACTGCCGAGGGGAGCAGCGGGCGGTCAGGAGAGTTCTGCCGCGCCCTGTGGTCACCTCCGGGGCAGGGACCGAACTCCTGCTGCAGTGGCTTTAGCTTCTCGGTGCTGTGCTCTGACCCGCTGCGCCCCCAGGAGGGCCCAGAGCTCTCCTCTTTAAAAGGCTGAACTCCAGAGCTGCCAGGGTCTAACCCAAGCCAAAGGCAATGAGTCGCAAAATTGTGGCTGCTGAGCACGTGGCCCCGGGGAGCAGGGGTGAGCTGCGGCCCGCGAGGACGGTCCCCCCACCTGCTGCTGCCCCCAGGACCTGGACTCGCTCGCAGGCCAGTGGGGGAGCCTCCGCACCCCCAGGACCTGCAAGCGGAAGCCAGACCCTCCTCGCCCCGTGTTCCCCCAGTGCGTCACCGCACGCGCCCTCCGCGGAGGGGCCGGAACCCCTCAGGTGCCGCAGGTGCTTGCGCAGCAGACTCACTCCTCCCTCTTCCTCCTACAGGTTTCGACCTGATGGACCTGTTCAGAGTGCAGGAGGTCGTGGGCAGGACAGAGCACGGAGCTCAGGGCTCCTATGTCCGCCTGGGCGCCTCCCCGGTGCTGCAGAGGACAGAGTGAGTTGTTTCTCCTCCAGCCCGCCTGGACATCCCCGGGCAGCGGAGGCCGGTCAGCCCTGCTGCCCCCTCAGGCCCGAGCCTGCTCCGGAGCCGTCCGTCTCCCTGGCTGCCCGATGCCCTGGCCCGCCACACTCCCCGCCAAGCGAGCCACGTGCGTGGGCTTGTGCCAGCTCATCCGACAGCGTGTGTGGGTCCGTGGCGCCTGGCCGGGCCCCTCCGGGACAGGCCATCGCGGCACCAGCGCCCCCAGCTCGCAGTCTGTGCCCAGCGGGCCACAGTGCTCCTGGGTGCCTGGCCTCACGCGGGACTGGGCGCCCTTTGCAGGCGCTTCCTCAGGTCCCCCAATGGGGCGCTCCCCCTCGCTGGGTGGGTTGTGCTGTGAGCATTCATCGAGGGCCTGATGCCGGCCGGGTCTGCGGTCGGGGTGTGCCCTTCTGCTGGCCAGCCGTCAGGGGCCTCTCCAGTCGCTGCCGTGTGTCCTCGGGCCAGGGCTGGGGAGCCCCGCGCCACCTGGCCCCGCCCGGCCTTGGCCTGACGCTAGCCCCACAGCTCCTGGCCTGGCCCCATCTCGGCCCTGTCTCTGTCCTGGGCGCTTCCCACGAGCTGTGACCACGAGCCCTTCCCCCCTGCTCCTCCCTGACCTGGGACCCTCTCGCCCTAGCTAGGACGGCCCAGCCCCTGTCAAGGACCCCCCATCCCTGGCCTCCCTGCTCTCCTCAACCTGCCTAGCCCTGGGAGTGTGCAGGCCGGCGCCGGGGAGCAGCGGGCCACGTGGCCTCTGCTGCAGGGGAGGCCCTGCCCTCAGGGGGGCGGCGGGCTGCGAGTGGGAGGCGGGCTGAGGCTTCCGCACAGCGACAGGCCCCAGCCCGGCGTGGGGCACCGGCCACGGGCTTGGGTTTGGGCGGGGGCAGCCATTGTTCTGTTAGAAATTCCCCTAAATTCTCACCGGGCTCAGGGCATTCCGAGGGCACAAGCAGAGGTGTGGCCAGGCTGGACACCCCTCGGTGCGCTCCAGGGAGGGCCGGGCAAGGTGCCCTCTCCCCAGGACCAGGCTGTGCTGTGCCATTAGAGAGGGCCAAGGGGCCATCCCGGGACAGCGGGGCGGTGAGTGCTGGCCTCCCTGTAGAGGCTGACAGACAGGCCGGGCTGTGGCCCATCTCTCTGGGGGGCTCCATGGGGAAGCACAGGAGGCCCCCCTCACCACCTTGGGGTCATGTGTCCAATAACCATCCACACGGCTCCAGCAGAAACGAAGAGAAAGAACACACCGACGGGCGTCTCGCCTGCCCGAGGGTCCCCGCCTGCTGCCAGTTCGTGTGGCCCCAGGACATTCCCGCTGGGGCAGCGTGGGGCCTCTGGGACTGGGGTGCGCGGGGCGTGGGCAGGCTCTGCCAGCTGGCGTGTGAGGAGCATGTTCCCGGTGCCTGAGGCTGTGCTGATGCCAACGTCAGGGGAGGATTCGAGGGGGCGGCGCTCGGGCGCCTCAGGGAGAGGCGGGTCCGCTTCTGGGGCTGGGCGCGGCCTGCCCGAGCCTGGGTTTTGGGACCAGAGAGCGGCCACGCTCAGTGTTGGTCCACGTTGATGGGCATTTCACACAGCGCTGCTGCTCGTGACAGCAGATGTGGCTATGACACTAGAACTCGGGACCAAAACTTGCCCAGAATCTCATGGCTCATCGGAAGCAGAGGCCGGTCCCTGTGACATACGTGAACACGTGTGTGTGTGTGTGTGTGTGTGTAATTGTGCTTTCTTAAATATTATTTTTGCATAGAAGGACTGGGGTGCAGGCCAGAGGTGCGGGGTGAGAGGACTCCCCAGAGACAGAGCGGGGAGCAGAACAGGTGGATCCACTGAGACCCGCTGCTGAGGGGCAGCGGGAGACCGGAGGGGTCTGCTGCACCCTGTGGTCACCCCCTGGCCGGATATCCACTCAGCCCATGCCAGTGATGGACTGAACCCCTAGGCCGCCAGATAGGCCCTGCACGTATTATTTTAAAGGAATAAGAAGAAAGTGTGTTTAGGAAAAAAAAATAGCATTGTCAACCTGGTAAACGGGCGAGGAAGTAGAAAGGGAGAACTGTCAGCTGGGGCCACGAAGCCTCAGCAGAGGGCGTGTGAAGTCCTGGGCCCCCAGAGGCTGAGGGGCTGGGGCACCCCAATCCGGAGGGGGCCTGCAAGCACTGAGGCGCCGAGCTGCTCCTGGGGGCTCACGGGGTGAGTCCAGGCCCGGAGACTGTCCTGGAACACCACGACCTGCTCCCCGCTTGGGTCCGTGAGCCGCGGCTCGGAGGGGGGAGCGCGTCTGCCCCACACCCTGGAGGGTCGTAGCCTGGGACCCGGAGCCCCAAGCCCCTCGTTTCCCGCCCCGGCTCTCAGCCGGACGGCCTCTGCCCCTCCAGGGAGAAGTCGGTGCCCGCAGCCCTTGGGGCGCCCCTGGCCGGGGTGCGGTCTGCCCACTGTCTCCTCCTCCATCACCCCTTCCCCTCCCTCCTCCTCCTTGGGCCTAGCAGTGATGGCGGAGAGAGGGGAACTGGAAATGCAGGGGGCGGGGGACGGCGCCGGTGGCAGGGCGCCCCGTGGGGCCTGACGGAGGGGCGAGGCGGTGCAGGCAGGCGAGGTGTGTGCCCGGCGCCAGAGGGGAGAGCAGGCCCCGCGCGGCCTGAGGCGGGCTCGGGCCGCCTGCTCCGCGCAGCAGCCGCCTTCCTGCCTCCCCAGGGACGTGTTCCCGCAAGGCCTGCCGGACGAGTATGCCTTTGCCGCCACCTTCCGGTTCAGGAAGACGTCCCGGAGGGAAGACTGGTACCTGTGGCAGGTCTTCGACCAGTACGGCATCCCGCAGGTACGCCCGCCCGCGGGGTTGGGGCCCGCCCGCGCTCCCTCTGTGGGTCTGCACGCCCCCAAGCTCCCCACGGGGAGCCCCGAGGCCCTTCGCTTCCTGACGCGTCACAGCCATGAGGCAGGCGCCGGGGCCTCCCGTGGGGTCTCTGCCGGTGCCCCGCCTCGTCCGGGATGCCCCTCCGGGCCTCACCCTGAAGGAGACGCTGAAGCCTGTGCGGCTCCTCGTGGCTGAAGACCGTGGGAGAGCTTGTGGGGGCGGGAAGCGGCGGGGAGGGCAGCCCCATTCCCGTCCTGGGCACCCGGGGCCGTGAGCGCAGGCTCTGCCATGGGCTGGCGGGGCACTCTGGGAGTTCACGCTCGAAGCGCGTCTTGGCCACCAGGACCCTGGCCCTTCCCGTAAAGCAGACTGTGTGGACGCTTTTCCCGCCCTTCTGAGGAGGAACAGTGGTGTCTGCAGGTGGGAGAAGCCGGGCGTGAGCCCACAGGTCCAGCAGGACAGGGCATTGCACGGGCTTCTGGCCTCGCACACAGGGGCAGGACCTGGCGCCTCCGTGGGCCTCTGTGGTCCCCGTCACAACAGCGGGGTCCACAGCGAGGGGCTGCCCCTCCTGAGCTAGAGGCGGGGGCCTGGCGTGCCCTGTCACAGGTGGGAGAGGTGGCCCAGGGGCCAGGCCTGTGCCCACCCGCCCACGGCTCTGCTGCCCACCCACCCAGCGAGCTCTCCGTGGGCCAGGCCGGACTGCGGCCCGCACATTCCCGGGCTGGCGGCCGAGCGGCCTGTGTCCTGCGTGTGGGCAGAGGAACAAGGAAACGTCTCCCGAGGCCCTGTCTGGGGAGCAGCTCAGGCCCCGTCCGCCTCCGGCCGGGCCGCACAGGCCTAGCCGCCGGTTCCCAGGGTCTGCGGCAGGCTGGGCGCCGGCCATGCATTCCTGTGGGCAGCTCCGCGCCGCCCCCTCCGTCTGGGGTCTCGGTCCTCATGGCATTTGCAGACCTGCGTCGGGCCGGCCGGCCCCTGCAGCCAGGGCTGGGGTCTGGGCCGCGCCAGTGGAAGAGCCTGCCGGGAGGGGCCCGGAGACGCCTCTCCAAGTTTTGGTTCCGTAGGTGGCCTCGGCGGCTGAGGCCACCTACCTACCTTGGGCCGGGCCCAGGAGAGGCGGAACCGGGCCCGCAGATGGGCTGGGAGCTGGGCGTGGCAGCCGCCCTCCGCCGGCCTCACAGAGCCAAGGTCTAGCCTCTCAGACCCGTGGCCTCCTCGGGGCTTTCCAGCACCCTGAGAGTTGGCAGTTGCACCACTTGTATTTGGGGAGGCTGAAGATCCTGGCCTCAGGCCACGGAGGCTGTTGGCAGGTGATGAGGGGGCCAGGCAGCATACCCTGGCCTGCGTCGGGGCTTCCTGTTTATGAGGAGACTCGGGGAGGAACAGCCACAGGGAAGACTGAGGGGATGTGGCCGCAGCCCAGACCGCAGCAGCGCTGTGCCGACACCAGGGAGGGTGTGAACTGGGGAAACGCCAGGACTCTGGGTTCGGACCAGCAGGGCCGCTGGTGGACCTGTCTCCGGGGTGACCCCGAGGCCTCGGCCTGGGAGGCGCCTGCACTGAGGGAAGGCGCAACAAAGCCAGGGACACCCCTGGCGTGAGATGCAGCAGCCCCACTTCGGGAAAATGTCCCTGAAATTAAGTGGCGGCGCTCGCTCAGGACACGGGCCCAGAGAGGCCGGCCGGGGACCGCGAGACCGTCCCGGGTGACGCATCCGTCGCCAGATGGCCGCCTGGGCCGCGATCCGGGTCAGGCGGTCAGGCAGCGCAGGGCCCGTGGCCCGGCCCAGGCGTCGCAGGCCTGAGCTCCCCCCAGCCCCGCGCCCGGCCCCCGGAGCTCACGGGGCGTCCCTCTTGTCCCCCCAGGTCTCCATCCGGCTGGATGGCGAGAACAAGGCGGTCGAGTACAACGCGGTGGGAGCCGTGCAGGACGCCGTCAGGGCGGTCTTCCGCGGGCCCGAGGTGCACGGCCTCTTCGACCGGGAGTGGCACAAGGTGGCCCTGAGCATCCAGGCCCACAGCGTCTCCCTCTACATCGACTGCTCCCTGGTGCAGACGCTGCCCATCGAGGACAGGGAGAACATCGACATCCGGGGGAAGACGGTGATCGGCAAGCGCCTCTACGACAGCGTGCCCGTCGACGTGAGTGGCAGCGGGAGGTGCCCGGGGTCGGGGCCCGAGGCCCCCGCCCGCCCGCGCCGTTTATGAAGTCACCACCGAGGACTGTCTTGGAGCCCCAAGTCCAAGTTCAAGCCTGAGTCACCACCACTCACCCGTCCACTCGTTCAGTCCAGTGAATCGTCGTCCCTATAGCTGGCACCTGCGTGTGCCCACTGCCATGCTCGGTGTGGAGGACGAGGTGTGGTTGTGTAGCTCTGATGGCTAGCTAGCGGGAGAGAGAGAGAGAGTGCGCTTTTCTGTTTTCCTGTAAAAAAGTCTGGACAGCAAATGAAGACGATTCTCATTCCCCCACCCAATGACAGACCTGCCAATAGCTCGCTAGCTGCAGCTGCCGTCAGCTTTCCGTCAGCGACGGTTCCTTCTCCTCTTCCTTGTCTGTCCTCTCTAGTCTTTCCTTCGATCTCTGCGTCTCTCTCCCCTCTGGAACGCCCTCCGTGCGCTCACAGACACTCGGGTCAGCCGGCACACGCGCCGAGGCCCGCTGCCCCTCAGGCCGGGCCCACAGCTCCGTGGCCGGGAGTGGCCGCTGCTTTCTGAGCAGTAACCCATGACGCTTGCAGGAACGCACATTGCAGAGCCACGCGTGGTGTTTGTCCCACACCCCCGGCCTGTCTGATCGCGCACGGAGCCACGGAACGGGCGCTGACGAGGCTGGCAGGTCGTGTCAGGATGCACAGAGCGGGCAGCTGCCTCTTGCTCGTTTGCTCACGAAGCAGCGTCTGCGCTCTTGTCCCGCTCCCAGGGGCTGTGTGGAGCGTCGCGCAGTTAGGTTGTGTCTGGGCTTTGTGGCGACTCTCGGGGAGCGATGGCGTTGAGCACGCAGGGTGACCCACGTTACAGGGAGACTCCCCAAGGGGAGCCGGAGAGGCAGGTGGGCTGAGTGTCGCTGGGGTGCCCGCCCCGGGGTGCAGTGATGTGATTGTAGCGGTTGTGATTTTGACTTACCCACACTGAAAGGTTTCTCAGCACAGCGACGGACCGTCACGGGCCACCTTCTCACACACCTGTCTTCTGTCGGTTTTTGTTTCCCTGCCGTTCTGCCGAGTGGCCGGCCACGCGTGGTGTCGATGGCGTCTCCACCTCATTCCCTGGCCTCCGCTCGGCTCCAGCCGCTGTCTGAGCGAATGCCAGTCCACAGCCGTTGCTATTTTTACGGTTTTGCTGTTTTTCTTTTATTAGCGACTTCTAGAGAGTCTTGTGTATTCTGGAAGCTATTTGCCTGTTCATTAAATGCGTGGCAAATATTGTTTCCTGGTTTGTGAAGCTCAGACCGTAAAGAAAAGAAAATGAGTCAGTTTGAGTACATCAGAGAGATATTGAGAGGTATTGTTACAGCAAAATACGCCATCGACCGAGCTGTAAGCCCTTCCGTGACTTGCCTGGATAGCTGCGCAGTAAATTTGGCGTGGCCCGCACGGCACCCTTACCATGGAGGCAGAGCGAGCGGACAGAGGTGCTAGGAAGGCAGAGACTGGGGGCGAGCCGAGGCGAGACCTGCCGGGCCAGCTGGTCTCCACCCCGCTGACCGCCAGCGCCACCCGCCGTGTGTGGGGTCTCAGGCCTCCTTGTGGGAGGTGGGAGAGGCTGCCGGCTGCTGCCTGCGTGGTAGCTGAGACGGTGAAATCAGACGATAGATGTGGAGGAAATAGCGGCCCTGAAGTCAAGCCCCAACAGCCCCCGGGCAGACCCGGTCTATCCCGCTGCTTGCGCACAGGCTCTGGGCCAGCGAGGCACCCCCGGCCCCACTTCCACCCCATCTTCTTCCAACCTTAGAAGAGACTGAGACAGCGGAGGACCGCGGGTGGGGCTCCCCGCCGGGTTGGGAGGGGCTTTCGCAGACGGGGCTGTTCGGAGTGAGCAAAATTCAGAGCTCTGACCTCGTCCTGATCTGGGGGTGGCTTCTGAGCTGCTGGGAGGAAGGGCCGATTCGGGGGACGGAGGTGGAGCAGCCGCCATGGGGCCAGGCCACGTGACCTTGCCTCCACCCTGACCGGGCTGTGGCGGTGGGCTCCTTGTCCACAGGGAGGCTTGTTACTGCAGGATCAAGAGATCCAGACGGAGTGAGACACTGAACACAGCCATTCCGCACAGTAGGTCCTTAATGAACAGGTCCAGGCGCAGGGCACGGGGCTCTGAGGCGGCGAGCCGGGCCTCCCTTGCAAACCGGCCTGGCTGGAAAGCCGGGTCCATGCTGTCCTCTCTCCTGAGTGGGCTGGCGGGGTCCCCACAGGAAGCGAAGCAGACGGGCGGATGGACTGTGCTGGTTTCTGTGCTGAGCCACGTGTGGGTCGAGTTGCGGCTACAGGGCCGGTCTGAGAGCCAGAGGTCAGCCTGGCCGCCTGGCTGGGGTGAGGGCTCCGGGGGCAGCAGAGGCCAGCAGGAGGTGCTAGGACCTGCCAGGCTGGCGCCCGGGCAGCAGCCTAATGCCAGGGACAGGCTGCCCGCTGCCGACCCAGGCCCCCAGCTCAGGCTCCGGGGATGGCGCTGGGTGGCTGAAGCCGGCGTGTGCGGTCTGCGCTCACCCTCCCCCTTGTCCTTCCAGTTTGACCTGCAGCGCATCGTGATTTACTGCGACTCCCGACACGCGGAGCTGGAGACCTGCTGTGACCTCCCTTCGGGCCCGGTGAGGCTGCGTGGGGCCGGGGGCGCCCAGGCCTGTGACAGGCGGGCGGGCGGTGGGGTCGGGTCACTGCCCTCAGGACATACCTGGCTCCACACGCCGTCCAGGTGGTGCTGGGCCCTCTCGTGCCCCACCTGAGGTGCAGCTCTGGGGAGAGAGCAGTTGCGGCTGCAGGGCGGCCAGCAAAGACCTGTCCCTCGGGCACCAGGGGTTGGCTCGGGAGGGGCCACGGGGGTGGGCCACGGCCCCCCTCGTCCCGGACGGAGCCACCTCCGTCTCGCCCTGTCTCTCCTCCTCCAGCCTCTTCACCAAACCCTAGTGCCCAGCGCTCGGCAGGGGCAGTCCTCTCGGCCAGTTTCCCAGGGCTCCGGGTAGAGTCCGGCGCCCTGGCCCCCGGTCAGTGAGCGTTCCTGGTGTGGCCCAGAAGCCAAGCCCTGAGCCACTGCCTTCCTCCAGTGCCAGGTGACCGTGGTGACGGAGCCCCCGCCCTGGCCCCTGCGGCCCCCCAGCTCTGGCAGCGAACACATCGGGTTCCTGAAGACCATCAACTGCTCCTGCCCCGCCGGACAGAAGGTGCCGCCTGCAGGGCTCAATCCTAGGGAACCCCGAGCTGGGCCGTGGGTGCGCTGGCCGCAGGGCCATGGCCTGGGGCTGGGGTTTCCCATTATGCAGCGTCGTGGGGGCTGGTGAAGAAGGGGAGCCCAGGGACGACCTCGGCCCCACCTGGCCCTCCACTGAGCAGCTTCCTGCTGGCCACTGGGATAACAAAATCAGGCCAGTGTTGCCCTCCGTGTAGTTAGGAGCCCACAGGAGAAGGCCACCATTGCACTGCTGGGGTCACCGGCCAGGGCGGGCGGCCAGACGGTCCTGCCCTGTCTCAGCTTTCCCGGAGTGCTCCTGGCAGGGTCCTCTGGAGGGAATCTGGGGTCAGCGGCCCCCTGCCGCACCTTCCTCCTGGTCTGTCACACCTGAGTGTGGCTTAAAGGTCCCCACCCAGCTGCCCCCACTGGAGCAAACCCAGTGGGGCCCCACTGTGACGCCCCTTGAGTTCGAGGCAGGCCAGAGCCTCCCTTCCTCCTTCACTTATCAGCAAACACTGGGGCTTCTTCCGAGATACCCCGAGGGATG